ACAAAGTATAGTATATTTTTAGTAACAGCATGAACTGCAACTGATGACATCAAGAAACATAACATCTACTATTATTTTTGCTTAGATGATTATAGCCCGGGTTATAGAGAAAACTGCCTGGATGTTAAATTCTAAAAAGGATGTTAAAACTACATGCCTTGGATATTGTGTCAATAGACGGAATTTTGTACTAGTACCCAGTGCCCTTATCAAGTGTTTTAACACTTTTTAAAATTTTAAAATGATGTTGAAGATGCAAAAGTAGACAAAAAGGCGATTAGATGACAAAAGCGCTAAAAAATCACATAAACTGTTGTGAAATGTTGAATGCGATTCAAGAACTTAAACGCTGCAACAGACTTGTAATAATTCCGTGACGGAATACCATTCCATTCCAAGAATTAATTGGGGATCATTTCGGGGTCGACGTGAAGAGAAATGGGGATCATTTCGGTGTCGATTTGGGGATCATTTCAGGGTTGGGGGTCATTGCAGGGTCGGGATCATTTCGGGGGCTGTACAGCTGCTCCTGTCGTTTTCAGAGTTTGAGCCATGGTTCTTACCCAGGTTTCCTACTGAGCGTTTTCCCAACTGACTTCTTTTTCCCGATTGGTTCTTTCTGGCCTCTCCGATCCCACGGTAGGTTCTTTGAAAACTAAAGCTAAGCTCTTCTTTAGGATATGTTTCGCATACTTAGCTGTAATTAAAAGTTCTGTTAATATATCAGGCCCGTAGGGAGGGGGTAAGACGGGTGCGCTCACACCCCCCTTCTCTCCACAGGCCTGGCACACTACTGGAAGATCATGATGATCAGCAGGCCATAGAGAAGAAAACGGATTCTCAAATGCTCAAAAATTGTAAAATAACGTTGTCCGTTTGACACAAAAAAAATCAGTTTTGAAGTTAAAAAAAGTGAAATCAATGTTTTACAAAACGCTCGTAATGCAGTCTCAGCTAGACAACCCAATTTCCCCCCTAGATACTTGTACCTCCGGCCTTGTTTGGTCCGTCGCCTCGTTGGATCACACCCTCCGGTAAAAAAAAAAAAAAGAAGCTGGCTACGGTCCTGTACATAAGTTGCATCAGGAGCCCATGACTCTGATATTGCCAATGAGATGGCCACGAGTTCCTGGCTGCCGTCACTGATGATTGATACTACAAGGAGGGAGTGGGGGCAGAGGGCAGAGGATATGTTTTTATAGGCATTATTATTATACCTGTTTTTTTTAAAAACCGGGCTACTAAAAAATGTTAGTCTCTCGCACTGATTGTTAATTTGATGGCCCTTGTTCGGCTTGAAAAGTAAAATCTCACCTCAAAAAGAAATTATTGAATACATGAGCTTCCATTTGATAGAATCGTCTGTCTTGAAAGTAACAAAAGTGAAGTTTTCCTCATTAATCTGGAAAATAAGGCATTTTAAGAAGCAATTTTTAGTGTTCAACAACATGACACTTAGTTTGACGGAAGCCCCCCTCAAAAAATATTAGCTGGGCCAACGGGGGTAACAGCCCGTCCCTACGGGCTGGGCTGTTGCCCCCCTCGTGAAAATTTTCTGGAATTTGCACTGATTTCTGTCAATGCCAGGAAGTTATTTGGAGCCCATGGTTAAGAGGTGAGGGTGGTTAGTCCTGAAGAGCGAGATTGTTATTTTTACACTAAAAGTATCAGGGCTTTAAGCAAATTAAGTTTTGAAAGATTGCCTGCAATGTGCTGGACTTGACTTAAGATTTCAGGCAACCCGGTTTTCAAAACTCCAGGTAGTATTTGTATATCCCCAAATACTGTACATACTACATACTATAATTTTTCGACATCCACTCCTGACTGGCAAAATGAAAAATGACAACCCCCCGTCTTGATAATGAAAGTGAAGTACTATCAACGATACAGAGTCAGTAGAGATATGTTTAAATTAGAGAACTGAAACAAAAGGAATCAAGATCATAGATGGTAGTATTTCTGGCGTAAAGGAACTTGTGGTCGGAGTCATGTCAGAAATCGTGGGCTATTGAGACAATCATACTTAGATTATCAAGGTTAAATTTAGGCCTCAAGCAGAAACGTAACCTGAGATCAGACAGAAATCTACCAAAAGAATCAGGCCGAATTCAATTGGCCCTCAAAGTTATGAGAAAGTAGTTACCCCTTTATCCTTGAATCAGGGGCTTTGAATGCGCCAGCGGCTGGGTCAGGAGGGGCTGGGTCATACCGTTGTCACAGTGATATGTGTATCCCCGTGATATGTGTATTCTCGTACACATATCCCTAGTGATATGTGTATCTCTCCAATATGGCTGCCAGTGAAATGTGTATCCCCTACTTATCCCCTACTTATCCCCTACCCCCCTACCCCCACCCCTCCAAACAAGTGTCGGTTTTATTTCTGTTGTTTTTGTGAATTTTGGGAATCATCGTCACAGGGACCACAAATGATTCACGATTATGAGCAACACAATCGACAAAAGAGCAACGATTCGAGACAAAATAATCGCAAAGCTTTCTCTGGCGAGTTTACTTCTTCGTGGGCCGCAATGTTGATGTAAACTTTCGTTCTCGCTCCTCTCCTTATCCAACGTGATTATAATTTATACGTCACTAGTCGCGTTAAATAAGTATGACTGAGAAAATTTCATTCAGCAAGGGATAACTCGAAAAGTCAAAAAATAGAGAGGGGATACACATATCTCTGCGCTAGTTCAGTGATATGTGTATCCCCCCCTCCCCCCTGCAAGAACCATAATAATCCACCTTTTAAGTTTGATTCCTGTCTTAAAGGGAACCTCCACTTCAACAAAAAGATAACTTTAAATCACAGGAAATAACTGTTACAGTCAAGTCAATCTAAAATATTTTTAAAGAAAGCGTTTGTATCCGAAAGAAATAACTTTTAGATTCGCCTATTTTTGTTTTCAAATTTTGCGGGCGTCGCCATCTTGAATAATTGTGACGTGTTACGGTTGCCCTATTGTTATTAAACAAAAGCACTTTGTGTCAGAACAATAGAGCAACCATAACACGTCACAATTATTCAAGATGGCGGCGCCTGCGAAATTTGAAAGTGAAAATAAGCGATTTAAAATTCACTTTTCCTGATATAAACACTTTTTTTAAGGACAAATTTCGAACAAATTTGTTTATCAACATAATTTTATTCGATTTAAACTTATTCTGTAGTAAGAGTGGAGGTTCCCTTTAAACCTAGTTGTATTACTAGTCGTTCTGATAGATTATATGGACGATATTCCCTTTAGCAAGAGAAGGAAAACAGGGGATACACATATCTCCGCGCCGGGTCAGGGATATGTGTATCCCTTTTGCGAACGCCCAATGTTCCACCTTTGCATGTTGTTTGATTCCACAGTTAACCCCAACCTCGTTCCCAGGGTTCTCTCCTACCCGCCCCTGTAGCCCTTCTCTCTCTCTCGCTCCGTAGGGCGGGTAGGAGAGAACCCTGAGAACGAGGTTGAGTTAACCCTTGTTATGTAACTAGTTATGTTAGATGATATCGACGATATTTCCTTTAGCAAGAGAAGATAATTCCTTATTGTGTCGCGGATGAGCATCAGTGTTTATTGTATCCCCACCCGGGATACACATATCACTAGGGATATGTGTACGGGGATACACATATCACGGGGATACACATATCACGGGGATACACATATCACACCGGGTCATCTTGCTTTTTAAAGAAAACCGCTGAATATTGGAGAAAGCAAATGACGTAGCTGCGTCAACTGCTGCGTCACGGGGCGTCGATAAAACCAGGAACATGGAACATCTCGGAACATTCCGGAACATCCCGGAACATGAAAAAATTAATATATTTTTTTATGAAAAAATAATTAATTAATTAAATAAATAATAAGAATAGTAATAATAATAATAATAATAAATAATAAAAAGAACAATAGATAGAAAACAATTTTTGCAAAAATTTATAATAACAAAATAAATAACATACCATAACATAAAAACGAAAAATAATGAAACAAACAAAGAAAGAAAGAAAGAAAAAGAAACTGGTATCATCTCCGAGTATGAGAAAACAATATTTTGTCGCAATGAATTTTTTGGGCGAGTGAGGGTCCATTCAAATGACAGTAATGAGTAAAGGCTTGCTTCTAAATTCAAAATATATTAAAATGTCGCGAGGAGGGGGTTTTCAAGCTTTCCTGACACAGCCACCTCTTGTAAATGTTTGCCATGCGGTTTAACGGTTATCAATTTACGGCTTTGCGACCGTAAGAAGAGCTTAGGGGCTCGTCGCTTTGGACTTGGATAATTACATTAAAGATTCACATTCGCCGTGAATAGTTGCAGTGGCAGTGGTAGCGCAGCGGTAGTTCCTAACTGTTATCAGTCAACCTTTTTTTTAGTCGTCTCCCCGCCAAGAAGAAGAAGAAGAAGAAGCAAGCCTTCACTCATTACTGTCAATTGCATGAACCCTCACCCAACAAATTTTAATTTGTTGCGACAAAATATTGTTTTCTCGTACTCCGAGAGGATACCAGTTTCTTTTTCTTGATTATTTCATTCTTTTTCGTTTTTTTTTTTTGTTATTCTACGTTCTTATTAATTTTTACCAAAATTATGTTATTATTATTATTTTATTATTTTTTTTTTTCATGAAAATTATTTTTATTTTTTCATGTTCCGGAATGTTCCGGAATGTTCCGTGTTCCGGGTTTTATCGACGGCCTGCGTCACGGTAGGTCGTAGCATAAAGAAAAGCGAAAAGCTTTGGTTGCCCGCAACCTATATCCGATTGAAAACGACTTGCTCCGTTAATTTTAGTAATATGCATCAACAGAATCCTGCTCCTCCGACAACAATTGTTATTCCCTGCGAGAAATGTGCTCTGATTTTCTTCACGATTATGTTTTTGCTCGTTGGTTTTCTTGACTATGGTTGGAAATTTGGCGAAACCTTTCTGTCGCTCCTGTAAAGACGAGCTCCGAGATCTAAAAAATTGTCGAATCGTTGGGCCACTTTTCTTGGCGATCGGCGTTGTATTGTTGATTGCTACCATAGTGTATTCTCGCATCCAGAGAAAGAACAATGCCGGACAAGTTATAAGCGGACCGAATACTGGTCAGATAGGTTCAACAACTCAAGGAGGATCGGGCAATGTGACGACCACCACTCAATATCCTAGCCCCTATGGCTTTCAACAGCCGGCGTACGGGCAAACACCCATGTATCCACCGGGATCATATCCGTCACCGGTACCGCCCGCTGGATATTCGACTTATCCGACAGGACCAGCTTATCCTTCATCGACTCAGTACCCTTTTAATTCTCCCTATAATGTTCAAGCACCATACCCAACAGAGATGCCTCCACCCCCATCAGATGAAGGTACCGTTGGCCAAAGTGACACTGCTCCAAGTGCCCCTCCTGCAGAGAAAGTGGAAGCATAGAAATGAAGAAAAGTGGAAGCATAGAAATGAAGGATAGAAAGGTTGGATTTTGGTCAATTTTGCTTGTTGCCCTTCGAGTCATATTACTTGACTCTCTCTTTAACAATTATTCCTCGAGGCCGAATGGGCTATTGACTCAGAGACCATGAGGGCCCGAGGAATAATTATTTTAGTAAAATCCAACTAGTCGGTCAAAAATATCGAGAAAAAACAACTTTAGCTAGTTAAAGCTAGAAATTTTGCCACCAAAAAGCCAGTGCTTTTCACTACTAGTGGGCTACTAAAACATATGGCTTGGCGCACGCTACTGGTGCACACGAGCGTAACACCGTGCCTTACGCACGATTCGCGCTCAAGAAAAGGCACGGTTTTTGTGTCAAAGCACGGGAAAAAAACATGCAAAGGCACAGATTAGGCACACTTCAGAGGCACAGTTAAGGCACGTTTTAAATATTGCTAAGGCACACTTTAGGCACAGTTTGGGCACAGTTTTGGCACGGTTTAGGCACGGTTTGGGCACAAATATTCAACGCTGGGCACTTTTTTGAAAATCTTTGTAACCCGACTTGCAAAAAAGAACAAACTTGGTACGAATTACAAAAATAATTCAGATCAAACACGATACAGTTAGAAGTATAGGAAGTGTAAGTTTTGAGCCGCGCCGAAAGTCTGGAAAATTAAAGTATTCTTCGACAGTCCGTGTTTACTCCGAGGATAAAGTGGAAATTCGCACGCGATATATGCCGGTCTGAACCTTTTCGATTGCCATGCAATTTTATAGACTCGCTTTCTTTCGTTTCTAAAAGAAATCGTGAAAGAAAGTCGAAGCCATAATAACAAAAACAAAGCTAAAGAAGTGAGGCACAAAAATAGCCAATAAAAGTCGTAGAAAATACTTTTTGCGATCGCGGTAAAATTGGCCAGAATTTGCATAACAACATGAAAAGTACAGAGTGGTAATTTGAAACCTTCATGCCAACGCGTGTTATTTTTAAATACAAAATGCGGCTGCTTTTTAAAAATATTTCTCTAACTAAAAAAGTAGGATTTACACTGTAGTAAAATAATTCAAGCTGCTTGTTTGTTTTTGTTTTCTGGCTCTGTTAGCAAATTAAGCTTTGATCGTATAATAATCGATGAGACGTGCCATTTATTTCATCAAAACTCATCGGCGTGCAATCAATTTTTTCGTTTTCATTTTATAAGTCATATCACAAGTAAATTCTTTTTTTGAATGGAAATCTGCCCTCCTGAAAAAAAACAAATATTTCGTTCCAACTAAACGCTCCATTAAGAAGGGGAGAAGAAACCTACTTGGAAATTTTTTAACATCGATGAAATTAGCATAATATCAACAATGTAATTGCATGCTGAGCACTTACTTTAAATACGCTAGCCTGTTTAAGATTCCATTTTCCTGTTTGTCGGGGCTTTCCCTGCTGTCTCTAACCGTATTCTGAGTCATGTTATTTCTTATTAGGGGATAAAAAGGTCGTCAGACCGTGTTTCTAGACTTCGTAAACCTCAAAACTGACATAATTGCCGTGCGCCCTTTTCGTTCGCTATGGAGCTCGATAGGCTGGACACGATTTTCCGAGTGACTCAATATTCTGGCACAACTTGTGCACAGATTAGGCACAGTTTGGGCACAACTTAGGCACGGCTTAGGCACGTTTTTCAAAACTAAAATGCACACTTTATGCACATCTTAGGCACATTCTAGGCACAAAATCTTTATGCCAAAGCACACTCTAGAATCCGATTTTCGGTCCAACGCACGGTTTACGAATTTTCACGTTAAAAAAATGCTGACTAACCTTACATATTTGATCTTAGCGTAAAAATGGGTTTCCCGAATTCTTAACAGTTAGTCTATAAGGAAAATTTAACTTATGAGCATTCCAAAAATTATTATTTCTTCTCTTAACAACAACAGAAAGTCAATGAAAAGCAATCTTTTAAATTGACGTTCGCGCTGCACAGAGATCGTTTGTAGACAGAACATCTTTCTGAAAACGCCCTAAACTTTGTTGTTTTGCCATTATGTTCAGTAATTTTTAATACAGTTAGTACTCATAAGTCACTGACCTCTTCGGAGAAATTTACACGGCTAAGAATCTCACATCGTTTGGCTCTTATGAACTTATTAAAACTCAGATCGCATCGATATTTGGCAAGAAGTTAAAGTTTATAAACAGCTTTTCATTGAATATTTTTTTTCTGGCTGTAAGACCAAAATAAAATGAAAATATGAAAAATATGGCTCAAAATGGGACCATTTTTTAACAGCTCGCGTAACATTTACAGTCTAACCACGCATATTGTGGGATCTCTCTATTTCTGTTAATGATACTTTCGAAAAATTTCTCCACAGAGGTCAGTGACTTATGAGTACTAACTGTATTAAAAATTACTGAACATAATGGCAAAACAACAAAGTTTAGGGCGTTTTCAGAAAGATGTTCTGCCTACATCCGATCCCTGTGCAGCGCGAACGTCAATTTAAAAGGTTGCTTTTGATTGACTTTCTTTTGTTGTTAAGAGAAGAAATAATAATTTTTGGAATGCTCATAAGTTAAACCTTCCTTATAGACTAACTGTTAAGACTTCGGGAAACCCATTTTTATGCTAAGATCAAATATGTAAGGTTAGACAGCATTTTTTAACGTGAAAATTCGTAAACCGTGCGTTGGACCGAAAATCGGATTCTAGAGTGTGCTTTGGCACAAAGATTTTGTGCCTAAAATGTGCCTAAGATGTGCATAAAGTGTGCATTTTAGTTTTGAAAAACGTGCCTAAGTTGTGCCCAAACTGTGCCTAATCTGTGCACAAGTTGTGCCAAAATATTGAGTCACTCGGAAAATCGTGTCCAGCCTATCGAGCTCCACAGCGAACGAAAAGGGCGCACGGCAATTATGTCAGTTTTGAGGTTTACGAAGTCTAGAAGCACGGTCTGACGACCTTGTTATCCCCTAATAAGAAATAACATGACTCAGAATACGGTTAGAGACAGCAGGGAAAGCCCCGACAAACAGGAAAATGGATTCTTAAACAGGCTAGCGTATTTAAAGTAATTAAGTGCTCAGCTCAATTACATTCTTGATATGCCAATTTCACCGATGTTGAAAAATTTCCAAGTAGGTTTCTTCTCCCCTTCTTAACGGAGCGTTTAGTTAGAACGAAATATTTGTTTTTTTCAGGAGGGCAGATTTGCATTCAAAAAAAGAATTTACTTGTGATATGACTTATAAAATGAAAACGAAAAAATTGATTGCACGCCGATGAGTTTTGAAGCAAAATAAATGGCACGTCTCATCGATTATTATACGATCAAAGCTTAATTTGCTAACAGAGCCAGAAAACAAAAACAAACAAGCAGCTTGAATTATTTTACTACTAAGTGTAAATCCTACTTTTTTAGTGAGAGAAATATTTTTAAAAAGCAGCCGCATTTTGTATTTAAAAAACAACACGCGTTGGCATGAAGGTTTCAAATTACCACTTTGTACTTTTCATGTTGTTATGCAAATTCTGGCCAATTTTACCGCGATCGCAAAAAGTATTTTCTACGACTTTTATTGGCTATTTTTGTGCCTTACTTCTTTAGCTTTGTTTTTGTTATTATGGCTTACTTTCTTTCACGATTTCTTTTAGAAACGAAAGAAAGCGAGTCTATAAAATTGCATGGCAATCGAAAAGGTTCAGACCGCATATATCGCGTGCGAATTTCCACATTATCGTCGGAGTAAACACGGACTGTCGAAGAATACTTTAATTTTCCAGACTTTCGGCGCGGCTCAAAACTTACACTTCCCATACTTCTAACTGTATCGTGTTTGATCTGAATTATTTTTGTAATTCGTACCAAGTTTGTTCTTTTTTGCAAGTCGGGTTACAAAGATTTTCAAAAAAGTGCCCAGCGTTGAATATTTGTGCCTAAACCGTGCCAAAACTGTGCCCAAACTGTGCCCAAACTGTGCCTAAAATGTGCCTTAGCAATGTTTAAAACGTGCCTTAACTGTGCCTAAAGTGTGCGTAATCTGTGCCTTTGCATGTTTTTTCCCGTGCTTTGGCACAAAAACCGTGCCTTTTCTTGAGCGCGAATCGTGCATAAGGCACGGTGTTACACGCGTGTACACCAGTAGCGTGCGCCAAGCCTAAACAGCTAATCTATAAGCTAATCTACCACTCGGGAAAATGCCATCTTATTGGAGGTCTTGAGCAAAGGTTGGCCTGGGTCAAGTTAAAACCAACCCAGCTTTATAAAAGCTGTCTTTAGAATGTTCAACTTTTCAAGAGTTATCTGTCTGAAACGAAAGTCAGCCTAAATCAATGAACTATAGTGTGAAATGATGAACACTGCCTTATTCTTCTATCAATTTCACATATTCCCCAACCCTCGGCCCCATTTCTCGAAAGTCCCGATAATAATATTACAGGCCCTGTTTTTTTTTACTTTCAATTTGGTGCTTTTTTCAGCTGTTTATGTGTGCTTCATGTTTATGGTGAGGTTCAGGGTTTTAAATTAATAGTTTTGAAACCAAAACCTACATGTATAAAACCATCTGTTAATGAAACCTGGTAAATGATATTGTAAAATATGACTTTGGGCCCTAAAAGATGTTGGGATTTTTAAGAAACAGACCCAAGGCACATTGAGGTGGCCTGAATTGAATACTGTAAGTGGTTAATATTATTGTCTTATTTAATTGTAGGTTTGCCTGAAAGTTTGATATCTGAAGGATGAGGTCAAGTGAAGTACTGAAAATGCCTTGAATCTGTTACTGTAAGACACACATAATACATTTATGTCTTTTCTGCTCATTTTAAAGTTCTACTGATTTTCAGAAACAAAATAAGAACTAGTTTAAAATAATGATTATAACTTTTTTTTTTAACTACACTGT